ATAGAAAGTAAAATTGTAGTTGTCAAGGGCCAGGGCTAGAGAAAATGGGAAGATATTAGTTAAAGAGTAGAGACTTTCAGGTACAAGATGCGTAACATCCAGAGATCAAGTGTACCGCACGGTAGATACAGTTAATCATGTACTATATACTTGGAAGTACTTACTCTATGCTTGAGTATAGCTCTTAAGTCTACACACACACAATATATGTCAGGGATGAATATGGTAATTAGCTTAATTGTGGCAATCACTACACAGGATAAACTCATACCAAAACTCTGTGTAGTGCATCCCAAATACATATAATTCATTTGTCAGTCAGACCTGAGTGAAGCTAGAAAAAATAAAACTAAACAAATTCAAAATTTAAAAATATTGGTAAGAGAAATAGTTTGCTGCTTGTTTATATAGATAGGATAAAAAAGTGATCCTGGAGTGAATTCTCTTCATTCTTGGAAAGGTAACTTGTGTGAACTCTCTTAGCTACCAACGTGTGGTTTTCCCCTTCCTGCTATTCCTTAGGAAAGGGAAAAAGCAATTTGCTTGAAGAGAAGAAAGGGGCAGACTACAAGATTCCAATTTAGGGTGGATCAGACTGACCCTGAACTAAGACAGCTGGTGAAAAAGGATGAAATCCCCCAAAGGGAACTTTCCATGAAGGGAGAGACACGGCTGGTGCCCTAGGCTCAAAAGCAGGGCCTAAGAGGAAGAGCTAGTTTTGATAAAGCAAGAAGCCATCTTTGGTGAAGCCTTTCACACAGTGGGGAACAAAGGACACACACTGAGGAATGAGGGACGACTGAATATTCCTTAAAGACTAGGAAAGCCATAGTCTTGGGTCCTAGCATGGGAAACCATTACAGTAGTGGAAAGATTCAGATGAACAATAGATGGTGAAATGACACCAAAAGGCACAACCAAAATGTCAGAACTCAGCGAACTGTCATGTCTCTCTCTTCACCTAGAAACTGGAAATAAGACAGCAATCTGTTTGGTGATTTGGGGACCGTTTACGTCATGGAAGATAAACTGAATTTTCTTAAGCAATGAATGTAAAAATGGATATGTGCTTATATTGGGATCTAAGACAGTGAACATACACTTTTGTTTTTCGGGGCTGAGGACTGAACCCAGGACTTTGCACGTGACAGGCAAGTGCTCTGCCACTGAGCTTACACGCCGGTTCTGAGCATGTACTTCAATATCAGAAATGATAAGTTCAAATTTGACCACACTTAAAAGATTTAACTACTTGACCTTATCTCTCTGCTTTATCTTATAAAGGACTTAGGCCGAATTATGTAAACCTCCTTCCTTCTCGACTTAGTTCTTTCAGACTTGCTGTCTTTAGTTAAGTCATAAGGCCATTCCTTTAATCCTTCGTACTAATCTGTAAATTATTTGCACGTTGAGGCCCATTACTGGTCTCTTTTGGCTTAGTTTGTTCCTCCATAAGGGAAGAAATCACAAGCTTACCAGATTCAAGGGTGAAAGACACCGACCTCACTTCTAGATGGGATAAATGATAAAGAACTTGCACCATTGTGTTAAAACTACTATAGCCTCCCTGCTTTGGCCACAATTTCCTACATTCATTCCAAATACAAATATTCTCTCTCATGATCCCTGAGAGCCTCTTCCAATTATAGCACCTGGCTCAGCCTCAAAGTCTGGATCTCATCAGGTCCAAGTGTGGACGAGAGTTTGGACCTTCTCCTGAGAAAGATTCCTTTAACTAAATCACTGAGTTAATTAAATACCTTTCCAACACTTCCCACATCACCACCAGTAGTATTCTTGCCAAACTTTTTACCACACTACAAAGTAAAGTGTCCTTCCTTTCTGCTTCCAGTTTGTTCTCTTCACTTTTCTTCAAGCTTTCACCTACAACCTCCTCTAAACACTCCTCTGAACCTTCTGGGGATCACTGGTCTCAAATCAGTGCCTATGTTTGCTCCCTCAAATTCACTCGTTTAATACTATTGTATTTTGTTCTCGGATTGGAGTCAGAAATTTGGAGAAGGCTTAGCACTGCTTTGGGGTCCTTCACACAATCAAATGTTGAGTGGGCATCAGTCATCTTTCCAGCGAGGTTAATTATTCCTGGGGGTGTGGCTAAGCCTGCTGACCAGGCCCCCTACAAGTGGCTTCTCCATTTGGATTGGGCTTCTCACAGCTTGGTGACAGTGTTCTGGGCTTTGTATGAACAGTCTTGCTAATTTCCTATCTTCTTAGCTCATAGGGATAATTACTCCTGGGACAGATTTAAAACAATGAAACCAAAACAAACTTTGGGCTCCAACTTCAAGCACTTTCTAAGTAAATATAACAGCGAACTAACTTGCTCAACTAGCTATCCATTTAGAAAGAAAATGAAATAAAAATGTATTGCATGTTAAAACTCTGCTATTATTATATACATAATGTTAGTGCAAGGATAGCAAAGGATAATTTGCATAATAAATATTCCTATTCTCTTTTCTAGTTAGTATGATAATTGAATAGCAGCCATCAGTGAAGTAGGACAAAAGAGGGCTATTAGCATAAATGTTAGCTTGATCTTTCAAGGAGATTTGATTACTTCTAACCGACTCCACTCCATCCACTTGAATAGAGCCTCTGCTTTTCATCAGTTGAATGTTAAGTGCCTTTCATGCATTCAAGTATTACCCTGGCCGGCCATATTCAGCACAGAGCAAAGAACAGTTTCTACTGAACACATTTTGGGAGAAACATAGTTTGTTAATGGTAACATTTTCTGATGAAAAGATCATGGCTAGATGACAAGTTTATGCAGGTCGTGACTTAACCAAAATGGCAAAAGCATGACAAAATACTTAAGTCAGTGAAGCCAATGTAGCATCATCTTTCCTCCAGGGGAGGTAGATATGATTTCAAGTTAAAAATTCTAAATACTTCTACTAATCTTTGCCAATCATTTTCTTTCAAGCTTCTTTTAGTCCAACAGTGGAAATAACTGAAAATTCAGTTTAGTTTTGGAATTGTGCCACTCACAGTTACTTGTAATTCAGGACGAGGAAAGTCTATATGTTTAGTGATTTTTTTGAATAGTTTGTTTTAAGTAACAACATCAAATTAGTGGGGAATCTCTGCATTGAACAATCTCTAATATTAAACATAGTTTTTCACTGAGGGACATTTATCGTACAATTTGCTTATGTGAATTAAGGCATTTACAGATTGAACCTGAAGATCCTGAATGAAAAGAGCAGATTTCCTGTCTTACTCTAGAATGGCAGCAGGCACGCCTGCATTGTGTCTTCAGGACAGTGGCATATTCCAACAAAATATAAGGAAAAAAGATGTTGTTCTGTGGATTACATGAGGTCGGCCTTGGGCCATGGCAGAGAGGCTAAGCTGATTATGCACAAGGCCTTCGAATGGAAGGATTTGACAGGATGAGATCTTTTTGAAATTCTTATGTGCATTCAAAAGTTAATAACTAAAATTGTAGGCTTTAATAGAAACATGATAAATTATATTTTTTAAAATGTATTCAAATTTAGAGCATCTAGATTACTTATACAGTGGTAGGAGGTAAATTACTACCTAGAACATGGCATTATTTGTGGAAGGAGGTATTGGTCCATTTATTCCTCACAAGAGCTCTGAAAGGTACATATTTCTGCACTTTTCAGGTGAGAAAACAGGTCAAGTAACTGTTTACCCTTTCTTCAAACAATATGATAAACCTCCAGATCTGCCTGATTCTAAATCTTCTCACTCTTAAGCAACAGATTTCAATTTTATGACAGAAAGTAAAAATAATCAAAATTATAAAGACAAGAAAGATATGTCCCAAAATTAGAGGAAGTAAAATTCTACTTGTTGTACAAGAGAATGTATTTTATTAGAAATGACATTTAACTTACAAACTGTATATACTGCTTTATCTACATTAATGTTTAGAAACTAAAGTATTTAAAAAAGAACCAACAAATGTTCTGAAAGACTTAGAAGAGTGTATTATTTATGCTCTTTTGTTCTTTTCCTTCTCCCTAGTCTTTTGTCTTAATTTTTTCAAATTCTCTAATTCTGTGTAGTTTTGCATGGTAATATAGAGATTATACTTTGGAAATTATTTTTAATTGCTCTTCTTAAAGTACTTCCTTTACTGGAAGATAAAACGAAAGACCAGGGAGAGGAAATTTCCATTTTCCCCTAGATAACACACAACTTTCTGCTAATACATTCTGTGCACATTAATTTGGTACCATTTATTATTGGTACTAGAAGCTAATATCTGACTTTAACAGACTTCAGCCTAATAATACTACATTAAAGTCTCCTGAGTTAACGCCTAAGGGACAGTACTTATGTCCCTGGGGGAAGATGTGTAATACACTTAGTTAAATTGTGAAATCTTTTTCCTTAAAATAGTCACTGTAGTTTCTTTTGTAGTTCTTTAAAAGTCCAAATAAAACATCTCTATATTTTTCTTCTTTTGTTTTCACTTTCTAGAAAAACACATAACAATAACAAGAACAGGATATTTCTTTCCCATGGGCAAAGAAAATAGAACACTTAAAAAAAGAAAATAGAACACTTATATGTCAATGAATTATCTGGGAAAACTCTCAATAATTGTTACTTGCTTTTTAACTTGCTTATAAACTAATCTAGGCCCTACTTCTTATGAGTAATTAGCAAAACAAATGTTTTATATTAGTAATATTAGAATTTTATAGAATTAGAATTTAATAGAATTTTAAAAGATAAAAATTATTAAAAAGAAACTATAAGCTTTTTTCTTCCTTCTTTGTAACTGGATTTACTTAAGTAACTCTGGCTTGCATTTGACTAAATTTTTGTGTTTATTTCTGTGTCTGCTACCCAGTGAGTCCTGATAAGGGGTATTCCTACCAGAAAAGAAAGTAAGTAATAATAAAAAGGCTTCAGGCAGAAAATGTTTCAAATGTGACATTGACTTAGTGTCCATTAGCAAATGTTAAATATTGTCTATGTCTGTGTTTACTCACCCACAAGTCCTATAAGAATGTAGCCCATAATAAACACTAGGAAGATCATGCAGCACACAACATCTGTACAACTCCTAAAGACAGAAAAAGAATAAAGGATTAAAAGGGGTCTCAAACGATTTGTCTACTGCACAAAAATACAGGAGGGGAGAAAAAAGATGATAGTGATACACTATTTTATATGCAATAATCCTGAAAGGTAGATCAGATGTAGTTCTGCAATCCAAGACTTTAGTAGGAATAGCAAGGTCATATTTCCATATTTAAAGCTCCCTCAGAATTCTTTCTAGGTTCTGTATTTTAAAAATATCTCTAGATAGTAGAGTAACATCAGCATCAAGTAGATATTTTTTAAAAAATTAAAATGTAGTTTAAGCTCTGTGACTTTTCTTTGCATACCTCCCTGGCATAAAAGTAACTAGCCATTTTCCATTCCTCTCCTTTCTCCATTTTCTTTCCAAATGTATATTTTCATAGCATGATTATTAAAAGATTGAGTATATCAATCTTCTATGGTGAGCAGAGTTATAACTAATGTAACAATTGGTTATAAAAAGCATTAAAAATAAAATTCTCCAACAAACTGTAATTTTAGCAGCTATCCTCAAGTGACATACTCTCAAATTTGGTTTAGAGAAAATCTGGTTCAGAGAAAATCTGGTTCAGAGCCACTCAGTGATTTGCTAAAGGTCACAGCCACACCAGGATCCAGCACAGACAAAAGGTTTTCTCAGTTTGGAAGGTCGAAGCTATGTCTTCAAAGTGAGCATTGATAGTGTCATTCTTTACTTGAAACTTAATGATAAATGCACTCTTAAAGAAAAAGATCAGCCCATGTGACAGGATTCAAAATTACATACCAGAATTTTTACAGGATGGTCTTGATTGTGAGGGCACCAGGATGTGTTTAAACTCAGCACAGACAAGGTGAAATTCAAACTTTTTAAGAAGTGGCAGTAGCATAGCAGTAGTAATAAATGGCAACTGCACACTAGCAGACACTATACTACTTTACATTGATAAGGCTTGTTATACCTTTATTGATACCAGGCTCATAGTGTTGTGTATTTCCTAAGAACATCTTTATGTTACTAGGGGTAGGAAGGAGAGTTGATTCAAGGAGCACAAGAAGGTAATTACAGAAGTAGGCAAATACCTAGGTCTCCAATACCTAATTGTTTTCATTTAGTAGTTACATCAATATGACTGCAATTTCATGTAAAGATTTAAAATAGCTACATATGAAAATAATCACACACGTTCCTACAACTCTTTAAAAGTTATAGACCCTTCATTGGGAAAAAACACCATGACCAACTCAGAAATGAACTATACTTTGTTTAAATCCAATTTTAACCCAGGAATTTCTCATTTCATTTGTATTTCAGAATGAAAAAATGATACAAAGAGAAAAAACAAGGTACTGTAGCATTTTTTGGCTAGCAAGCTTTGAAAGCAGACCCCTACTTAGAGGAAGGGAGAGTGTCTCTCTCACATTCATCTTTACATGACCTAAGTCAAGATCATGGATCATCTTTCTCAAAGCAATTGTTAAGTAGCTGGACACAATGGTGATGCCTCTAGGCAAGAAGACAAAAAGAAAGCTAGAGCACTGGTGTGCTTTCACTAGAAGCTCTGCAGGTGTCAGAGCTCTCATGTGTAATCACAGCTCCCCGGAAGAGAGAGAAAAGAATTTGACCCACCATAGCCAGGCTGGTGCACACACTCTTATAGTACACTGCTTATGTACTATAATGTTACATGTTGATATCTGTGTCTTTGTATTCTACATAATACATATGTACCACAGTCCAGTACACTAAGATGTTCCACGGTATGCTATTACAATGTTAGGCATTTATAGTGTTATATAGTAAGCACAGGAAGAGAAAAGCATACTAAACAGGTGAATGAAAGAAACTAACCAATTTCAAAGGATGGAGCACAAAGAAAAGAGTAGAACCCAAATAGAAATTCTATAGAAGGTAAAACCCACACTCTTTTACTAGCACTAATGAACAGGCAATTATTTGAATTTTGGTTCCATATGGAGTTTGAGGCTCTGATTCTTTTCCTCTTTTGGTGCTGAGGAGACTTGGAATCATCAAGCACTAATCCAGGACCATAAAACCACTCACCCAGCAGCCTAGCCCCCACGGCACTTCGCATTTCTCATGCATCCACTCGTAAGTGCCTGCGGGATTTGATTCAGCAGCAAGGGAGGATACTGCCTTCAAGTGTGCTTTGCTTTTCTGGTGCTCTACTTTAAAAAAAAAAAAGTGAGCTGTGGTCCCCATGGCCAGATTGCTTAATTGTATCGTACTTAAACAAAGAATAACGTGGAACAAACTGAAAATTATGAATAAAGCATTCAAAAGTCTCAACTAATAGGAACATTAGTATTTGTAAATTTGTTGTGGAAGCGATTTGATTCCCCTTAACGGTTTAGAAATTTTCTTTCAGCCACTGACCAGGTGACTGGTGAGAAGAGCCCAAGATTGGGGACTCAGGGACTGGAGACCAGCAGGGACATCCGAGACACAGTAGGACCCTGGCTAGAGTGCATACAATGCACAGGTAGGACTAGTGGCGGGGAAAAGTCTGTAGCAACAGTTACAATACAAGCAAGCAGGTGGTAAGTTAGGTGACCAGCCTTGGGCTTGGGTACAAAGACACATGGCTTAGAAGCGGGCAGGCAGGGTCACCCCTGTTCTTTTCTTTTCTTTCTGTAATTATTTTTATTTTTTTATCTTTTTTTTTTTTTTTTCTTCTTTTTCAAATGGCTGGGGAGAACTCCAGCCACAAAAAAGTAATCCCATCCCCCAAATCCAGAGATAAAGATCAGACCCAAACCCAGCACACACCTACCTGCAATCTTGGCCATAGTATACATTCTGGGATCAGACTTGGACCTACCACAGACCTGTAGACACTAGAGGAATTTCACTACTTTTACTTTTCTCTGCCTGATGGGTTTTCCTCTTAGTAGTAGTCTGGGTTAATGTTTTTGTTTGTTTTTTTGTTTGTTTGTTTTGTTTTGTTTTGTTTTGTTTTTCTCTCTCTTCTGTTCTGCCTTGTTTTGTTTTTCTTTCTGTATGTTTGTTGTTTTTTGCAGTGTGTGTGGTTATTTTTGTTCTTTTGTTTTTCTCTTTTATTTCTTCCTTTGTTTTCCTCTTTTTCTTTTCTTCTTTTCTCTCTCACTATTTACATCTCTAAACTTTCCTTTTGTTTCATTCTATGTGTTCTCTTCCTCTCCGTCAATTATCTCACTTGATTTCATGATATTTTCATGTGAGTAAACACAGCCTCTTCTCCTTCTGGTTCACTTCAAAACTCCTAGGCTTTCTCTTCCAACCCTTCCCTCTGTGTCCAACAATTACCCAAAACTTGGATGATCATCTTAGGTCCTGCAACCTTGCTCCTACTATATTTAACTTCACTCATCTCTCCCTCTTACCCCTTATCCCTATTAAACCTTCCCACAACAGGTTAAAGTCACTCTACTAAGTAGAAAAACACTGAATAAAAGTTACTGGTATAAATTGGATTATATTATATAACTGTAGAATTGCTCCTACAGTTAAAGATATCAGGATAAGAGCTACACATTTGTCAGTAGTCAAGCTGTGCTTGAGTTTATTATTATTGCTAGCTCTACTTTAACCTGGATGTCATACTTGTTATAATCTGTTTTTCTTCCTTGTATGGCAATGCTGCAATTGCAAGGGGTCATAACCATCAGCAAAGTCCAGTATCAAAGGAATGAGACTTGAGTTAAACGGACAGCAACTCCACATTCTTAATATATTTGAAGGTAGGTTCTTGGGATAGACATAAAGATCAAGAACCACCTGCATCCAGAAGACATCCTGAGAAACAGACATCTCCTTGGAAAGCCTTGACATCAGGGATAAAGCTATGTAACATAAGAAATCTACAAGCATTAACACAAAAAAATGACAAGAGGAAGAAGCAAACTGAAGCCCCAAACACCCAGCCCACCCAGGACAAGTCAAGAGCACAAAGAAATAGAAGAAATCAGAAGGCAACCACTGGAACTCTCTGAAATGATAGCAGTACAATTGAAACAACAAATGGAAGAGGCCATAGAAAAAATACTCTCTAAAAAGAAATGATCAAAATGAAAGACACTAATGCAAACACAGATAAAAAAAAATAGAGGAGCTCAAGAAAATGATGGAAACTATGAATGCCCAACATAGAAAAGAAATGGAATCAATGAATCAGATCCAAACACAAATCTAGGAGATTAAAAACTCCATTCAAAATATATGCAACAGATAGAATGAAGGTGAGCATAGAATATCAGATCTGGAAGACAGGAATGCGACTAGTGACTAGGAAAAGAAAGGTATCTTAAAAATAGCTAGGGACTATGAAAAAACAATCCAACAGCTACAAGATAAAGCAAAGAAGAACAACATAAAATTGACGGGAGTCAGTGAGAAAGCTGCAGACAGCGCAAAAGCCATTTAAAGCCTCTTCATAGAAATGGCAGAAAAATTCCCAAACATGTATAAAGAATTTGCTATACAAATAAATGCAGCATATAGAATATTAAATAGCCATGACTAAAATAAATCTACACCAAGGCATATAATAATCAAGATTCCAGAAATTCAACATAAGAACAGAATATTAAAAGCACCTAGAGAAAAGAAAAAAAATCACCTATGAAGGAAAGCCCATCAGAATCACAGCTGACTTCTCAATACAAACCTGCAAATCAAGGAGAACCTGGAGCGAAGTATTTCAAGCCCTAAAAGAAAACAATCTTCAAACCAGATTGATGTACTCCAAAAAACTATCTTTCAAAATCAATGGAGAAATAAAATACTCCCATGCCAAGGAGCAACTGAAAAAAGTTATGATCACCAAACCAGCTCCACAGCATGCTCTGAAGGACATATTATAAAGAGATAATGAAGACCACAAGCACGTGAACACCAGTAGAAAGAGGCTGCCAAGCAGGGCAAGCAGTTAAACAGAGAACAAAGACAGGGATCCAACAACAGGAAAATAACATGAAAAAGATAAGCCAATACATATCAGT